ACCCTTACCCCTTCAATATGTGCGTTTCAGTCTGTAACATTAGCTTATGCTTAAACATGCCATGACATCGATGAATAGTTAAGGGCCTCGCTAGGGGTTGGGGTCAAAGGTTAGCGAGTTGTAGTCCCGTCTGCACTTTCGGATGCGGATTACAAAACACTGGCCATCACTGGCAGCACCTCTGCTATGCCAATGTCTATAGAAGTGCCTTGTAAGCCACACAAATCCTATTTGGAAATTGAATTGCATATTCATATGTCGATATTCGATAGTTGCAGCGATTTGCAAGCCTTCCATGCCTGGCTATGTTACCTCTTAGCCAGCCTCAAATTGGGATTGTTTCACTGGCATTTTTCATGCCCTGCAAAACAATTTATGTAACAATTTCACAGCTTACTCATGGTGAGTTGTCAGCTGAACGAAATTCAAAACAATCAAAGGGGAAGAGAAATCTAACGTTTTCACCTGAGGAAAGAATTTTCTTTTTTTTTTTGGAAGTTATAACAGCAAGAGGAAAATATATATCAATTTGTGGTCACATGTGATATACAGTCTTAACCTATAATTTCCCATATCATAAATTTTGAATAATCAAATAACTCATACGCCACGTTGCACAAGCAAGTTTTTGATTATTGAATGCCTTCTTATGCAGCCATAAATAATTACAAGCAATAAGTATGAGCATAATTTCTTGACATTGATTTGACTTTGCCATGCACACATCATTTGAAGTTGTCAAAATATTACTCATACGCCAGGTTGCACAAGCAAAAAGAAACTGCATACAAGTCAAACCTGAAAGTCATAACAGCTTCCCGAGACGTCAATGCAAATTGTTCAAATTAGTTCTCTCTCTGACTTTCTGCTCATGACTTTGCCAGCCATTTGGGGCGACGGGTAAGTACATTACGCATACGTCACGTTGCACGCCCAACCCGAGTTCAACGCAGATTACGTTTTGTTTGTTATTATTTTATTGACAAAACATCACGACCAGGACGAATGTCGATGACATATATTACGCATACGCCTTGTGGAGCATGGAGCATGGCGAAAAACAAACCACCGAAAGAGCCAGCTAGAGGGATGATGGCTGATGGTTGAAAGGACCAAACTAAGTCCAAAGTAACTAACAACCGCCACCCACTAGAGTTTTTCAAGGTCGCCGCAGGGTGGAAAAGTGCCCGACATCGGGCCAGATGTCAAGTGAGAACGAGAGAACGTTGGCGGCGGCGGCTAACTTTTGCATTTCGCCCAAAACAATTTCAACAATTTTTGGTATTCCATTTAAATCGAGAGGGTGGTGGCTTGTTGGGAGCCCAAAGAACTTGTTGTCGCATCAGCAACAACAAGAACAACAACAATAGTAACAACAAGCATAGTTTGTGCCGCACATTGTTACGGTTGCGGACATTTTAATTAGACTTTAGTGGCTTTTGTGGTCGCCATTGTTGTCTTGCTGCCAACTATGCACTAAATAAATTTAAATGCCAAACACACTCAGACCCACACGCACATGCACATGCACACACACACACACACGCAGAGGCCCAGACAAGAGGCACATGGATGGCACTCCAGCTCACGCACACATGCAGCATATATAAGATAGAAAAAGGATCCAAAGGATCCCAGCTTCGCGCTTCACCACCACAACAAACTGACTTCGTATAAAGTAAACAGATTTTATTAAAGGTAATGGAAAGATAATATTGTAAGACTCATAAAAATGCAAAGCTTTTTAGATTGCAAAAAGTAACATATAGCTAGCTCTTAATAAACAGGATTTCTTTGTGGAAGTTGGTTTATATACTAGTAGAAAACGAATCAAACTTATAACAACAACAACAACTGAAAACTATTTAAAACCTTTAACTGCTAATTAACATTGAAATAAAATTAAATGAATTAAATTTCCTTTTGACCAGAACTTGCTTTTGGCATCATTTATTTATGCCAAAGAGCGAACACAAAGATAAGAGCCTTTAGGTATACGTTAAAGCCATTATGGCTGGGATTATTCAACCATTTCCAATCTGAGGGCACCAGCAAAATTCCATGCGAAAAGTTATCTAACGCAGCTTTCGTTTATTTTGTTTGCCATTCACAAGCGGATTTCCCTTGGCTTTTTGTTCCTGTTTCCTGTTTTTCAGGTATTTTTCCTCATTTTCTAATAATCCAACATTTTTGTGGCTTGTTAAAAAAATGCTCTTGCCCGGCTTCGACTGCCTAAAATTGGCAGTTTGTTTTATATATATTTTGCAGGGGAGCTTTGAGGAAAAGTGCTTGCAGGCGACGGCCGACAAATTGCTCAGTTGAATGGACAAATAGATCGTTGGATAATTATGCGAAAAGTTGTGAACGAAAGGCCAAAGGTGCAAATGAGAGCCGGGGCGAAAAATCAACAGGCCATAATGGGTTAATTTAGGGCGGAGTTGGGCGGTGGGCAAACCCCGCTGTGCTGCACTGCAGGAAACTGAATCATCTGTTCGGTGGCTCGTCTCTCTATTAATTAGCCTAAAGTGGATAGAGGAAATGCCCAGCGAGAGAGAGAGAGAGGGAGAGGGTAAATGGAAAATGGAAAACGGCTAGGCAGGGCTAAGCTTAGCGGCGGACTGTGGGCCTGCTAAAATATGCAACATGCTCATTACAAGCATAATAATTAAACTCCGGAGTGCCACAAAATTCAAATATGCTCTGGCAGAGTGAGTGGTGGAGGGGGGAAGACGGGGTTAGGGGTCAGTTTGTTTACGCGATTTCATATGACATTCATACACGTACTACATGTACTCTATATAGATGTGCGTGAGTGTTTGGCATGGATTTGCGTTGTTTGCCTGGGAAGCTATGAAGAAAAACAAGCGTTCCGCAGGCAAAGTCAGTACAGAACGTGCCCCAGTCACTACCCGCCCCCTCCCATCTAGTATCTCCCCTGTAATCCCCCTTATCTGCCCCCTTTGGGTCTGCGTGCAAATTAATGCGACATTTATTCATTATGCCATGAAACAGTCATAGAGGGAGAGCGAGAGGGAGAAGGCAGTGCGCCTGTTTGTTGGTCAGAGGGGTGCAAGGATAACCAGGCGGGAGGGCTGGTGGACTTGTGGGGAGTGGAAGGACAGATGAAGCAGCCAACCACTCGACAGCCGGGCAACAAAGGCGATGATGACACACCACAAGCACAGTGGGATCAAGAGGGTAACAAATCGAAGAAACCCTTCAATTTGTTAAATCAACTTGGAAAAGTTTAAGGTACATCCGTAGATACATTCGTATGGTTAGCTTATCATTCTTAAGCAGCTCTGAAGACCTTTTGACTATCAGAACCAAATCAATCGAAAGAGAGTTAAGATAACATATTAAGTAAACGAGTGTATATGTCACCATTCAGGAACCTTTTTTGCAGATTTATGGAGAGCCTTAAATGTTAAATATCAAAGAAATAAGTTAAAAGTTTAAGTTTCTATATCTAAGTAAATGCCTGACCTATAATATTCCCAAAAGTGATCCAGTTTTTCCCTTTTCCGCCCACTGTGCCATGACGATAACCTCAATGCGGCGCCCACTTCAGCGCCTCTGCCTACCAACCTACCAACTCCGCAGACCGTGCTACGTAGTCCATAGTCCGTAGTCCGCATTCCTCATTCCCTCCGTCTCACTCTGTCTCTGCTGCCGTTGTCTCCCTCGCTCCGACTCCGCAATGTGTCGCCGCAGAGCGTCGAGGGACATAAAAAGCATTTGCGTGATTTTATTTCGCATTTTTTGCTGCTCCCTCACTTTGGCCCAACTTTGCCTTCACCGCCGGCGCTTCTTGCACTGTTTGCCACCGCCGGGGAGTAGGCTCGTCTCCGGAGATTGGCTGTGTGTGTGTGTGTGTGTTTACTGAGCTTGTGTTAATTTAATCACAGTGAAAAGAATTTAATTAGTCAAATAACACAGCAAGAAGAACAGCAGGAACAGGAATAGGAAAAGGCGCGCTGGCTAATATTTCCATAATTCCAGAACATCCAGAACGTGGCAACATCTGGCCTGGTCAAATTATTAACTTGGCCGAAATCTAACAGCAGGTGTGGACAATGGCCAAAAAAGATATAAGATAGGGAAGAGAAGTAAAGAAGTTTCCTGAGGTGATGCAGTGTCCAAGACACTGAGAAAATGTTACTCAAAAGGTCATGTTTTTTAATATTTGAAAGATTTACAAAATCTTTTTGCCGAAAATTATTAATAATTTTATTTTTCAGCAATCAACACAATTTAAAATACCAAAAATCAAACTCAAAAACAAGTCCAAATCGGAATGTTATGATGTTTCTTTATGTGCCTGCCTAAAAAAGTGAAGGAAATTTCACTGGCAATTTGCGCTGTCTTTTATCGCTCGTTTGGCCCCATACACACACTCACACATACACACAACATAATGCCATTTTTATTTTAATCCTGGATGTGTGTGAGTGTGTGTATGTGCTTCGCCCCACGTCACCTCGTCCGCCCCTCAGGTCCTTTCTTGAGTTTCCCCAAATGGCAATTCAGTCAATGACAGAGCATAAAAGATCCACCGCCCGAGAGGGGCACGAAAAGAGATACGAAAGAGAAGAAGGAGAAGCGGAAAAGAAAAAGAATTCTTGTCTATTCAACTATGAGCGAAAACCTATTTTGCCCAGGTCATGCATGCGGATACACAGGGATATATCTACATATATCTGCATATATATATCCGCCGGCAGGGCGACCCCAAGTGGAAGTCAATTCAAGCAGCTTACTTTTATTTAAGTAAAAGGCAAAAGAACACACATCCCCTGGAATATATATATATCTATATCTTTTTGTTCGGAATGTACTTGAGATGCTATGGCTGCGCTGACCTTTTCTATGTTATTTTATTGTGGGGATTGTGGCATCTTTTCTGGCTGCCCACCTGAACGACGCCCCCGGGTACTTTTGACTTCCCCTTTCTCGCCTCCATCCACTTGCTCATCTCGCCTCCTGCTTTCTCCTTGCAGATTTCAATTTGCAAGAAGAGGCCTCCATTCCGGAGGACATATTTGACCAGCACGACGGCGACATTGGGGATGAAGATGCCGACCCGGCCCACATCCAATATGCTCCATCTGCTGCTGCTGCTGCTGCCACCGCCGAGGAGAACGACGCCGAGGATGATGATGATGATGTGGGCCTGATGGAGGAGGACGACGATGCATCCGAGGCAGCTGATATCGTGAGTACACACATGACAATGCACTTGCAGAAATATTCATTGTTAAACTAAGATCTAAAATAATCATTTTAGTATATAGAATTTAAGTAATATCTGAATCTTAGGAAGCCATTGGGCTAAGAATACATTTTAGGTTTGTTTCTGCATTGGTTGACCTAAATTCTGACCTCTACCATGCACTCTGCTCTCAAGTTGTTGTATTTTTCGACCGAAATTCATGCTAAAATGTATACAGCTCGAAATCTAAATATAATGACAGGGCCTTCTACCGTTTTGATGGCGTTTTTTTAGTGTACACAGACAAGCATAAGTACACACAGATGCTTTATAGAGTGGCCGAGCCTACAGTCAAGTCCATTGCGAATGAGGTCAGTTCTATTGAACGAAGTGGGGCTGCTGATATGGATGGGTGGGGGCAGTGGTAGCCGAACCATTGAAATGTCGCACAATGCGAGCGGCCAAGTCAAATTACTTTTACCAGCTGAAGAAGAAGGTGAGGCCACGCCAGAAAGTGCCGAGAGATGGTGGGCCAGAGCTTAGACCAATACTCAATCCCTGCATTGAAATTCACTTGAGCAAAAAATGAGAGCAAAGTCGAGCAAGAGCAAGAGCCAAGGCACTTGAAAGCATTTTTGAAACCAAAATTAAGCCACAAAAATAATTGCCATAAAAGGGGACAAAGGCAGGCCCTTCAGAGCTTAAAATCAGGCAAAGATTTGGCCTGAAACAATGGAAGTGCTACTACCAAAAACCAAGCAACAGAAGTCTTATAAATAAAATAAATAACAACCGAAGCTGATGTAATGAAGACTGACGGCAAAACCTATAATCCGAATCCCAGCCAGCGTTGTGGAAAACGGAAACATCGTTTGGCACTTTAAAATGCACTCACTACCTCGTTTCACGATTGCATTGACAATTCCTTGGAATTGCATTGCCCCGGAACTTGCCGTTCTCCGCTCCTTTAATCAACGATTTGCAGACACTTGAGTCGAGCACACAGGAGAAGACGTCAGCCGAGGGCTCCGGAGAATGAAACTTTCATTTTATTGTCATTGCTGCACATGTGCACCCACACCTGAGATGAGAGATCCCCAGGAGAGAGAGAGAGAGGTCCCAAGGAGGAGATTTCCTGAAGTTCATTTCGTTTTTTCTTTCCCGTCTTAAGCTCTTCTTCCAAAACTCTGCACTGCAAGTTTTTAAGCTAAATCTTATCTTTAATCTGTAAAAATTACTGTTAAATCATTCTTAGATATCAGATCAGATAATCACACTAATCTTTCATTGATTGTTATTAAACTTAAGTTTAGTGGCATTGACATTAATCCGATTTTCCGCTCTGTACGTTGCCACTACTTCCAGATACTCGAATCTCAAAGGCCCACTTCAAGGAATTTCAGTGTTTACCTGGACGCTAAGAAATACCAAAATACCAAAAGCAGCAACAGCAACAGCAAGAAGCGGTCCAAGGATAAGAAGAACAATATAAGCCACTACAACTACAAATTGAAAAACAATAAAGACAGCCGGCTATCCAAGGAAGCTGGCGGAAAATCGGAAATGGCCACGGTTCCGGGTGGCGGTGGCGGGACAAAATTCACTTCCAGCGAGGAGGACAGCGCGAACTTTGGCAGGCAAAGTTTTGCGTATAAAAAATTGAAGAACATGCACGAACAGCCAAGTCAACAGGAACAGCAGGGGGACGGCGACAGGAAGCGCGGTGATGATGGCGAGGGAGAAGATTCTCTCGAGGAATACCCTGCGTCACAGCTGTTCGATGCCATTGAAATATTAAATGAACGAAAATTTAATAAACCATCGGCCCAATCAATGGACAAGTCGCAATCGAAAATGGAGAAGCAGCAGGAGAAGGAGCTGGAGCAGGCGAAGTCCAGACAGGTGGATGAGGCCATTGGCGATATCGAGGACAATTTGGATAACGAAGAAATATTGCCCAACAACGACGATGAAGACGAAGACGATGGCGAGAACGAGGACGAGGACATTAAGTCGCCCATTGACAATGATGAATTGGCCAAAAAATACCCAATAGCCACATCAACAACCACCAAGGTCCCAACCACTTTGGCTACATTGAAAACCACCAGCAGAAGCAGCACCACAACCACCACAACGACAACAACATCAGCCACCTCGACAACACCAAGAACTCCGCCAACAATTGGCCGCAAACTGAAGAGGAATTTCTATGGTCTACCCCATCCAGAAACCAGATACTATGGCAGCTATGATATTGGCCGGGTTCGGGCTGTCCAGGACGACGATGACACCGAGGAGGAGGATGTGGGCGAGTTGCACTATTACGACACCGGCAGCAATCCCAGAAAGTTGGTCCGTTTCGATCCGGAAAAGTCCGAGGAAAATTACTTAAGCAGCTACTATCCTGGCAAACTGAATGCAACCGAAAAGAAACAGCAGCAGCAGCAGCAGCAACATGTTGTTGCACAGCAGCAACATGCAACACGTTACGTGGACGACGACTATGCCGAACAACAGCCGCCGGCGGAAAAGTCTACGTTGGAAAATCCCTGGGAGAAGTCCGCTGAAAAGCTGGAAGAGCAGGAGAAGCAGCAGCAGGAGGAGCAACTGGAGAATGGCAAATTGGAATCTGATTTGGAATCTGCATTGCAGCGATATCACGAGGGTAAGTCGCTTCCACATAAAACTGTGAAATAAGCAACTAAAAATAAAAGTAAAAATAAAAGCAAGATTGATAGACGAACTAGAATGCTGCAGTGAAAGGCACAGTGGGAAGGAAGTAAAAAAGTTCTTGGAAAAAGTCAACTAAAAACTTCACTTGACTAGGGAAAGTTGTACAAGTTTTTATACTCAAAAATTGAAAACCTCCCAAAAATCGAAATATTTTTTAAAGTCTTTGCCAAACTTTACCCATTTTCCAGTTAAACCTCTAAAAGTTACCACTGTGCCGCATTCCGTTTCCCTTTGATTGGCGAACTAAACGAAATGCCTTTCTCAATGGGAATTTTCGGACGCTGGCAACCATCTGGTTTGGCCCCACTGTGCCGCATTCCAGTCCAAGTTCGGTTTCGCTTGGCAGTTTTCGGTTTTCGGACCCAGTTAGAGATCCCATCAAAGTCAGCTATGTGGCTGAGTGTACGGTTATGTGTGCCTGCCGTAAATTGAAAATATGTAAAGGAAATCCCCAAAGCAGCATTCGGCATTCTACAGACGCAGACCCTCAGACAGAAAGCAAAATCCACATGCATGGTCATGGGGCAACGATAAGTCGAACTGTTGCCAGGAAAATAGCTTTAACTTCAACGTAAATGTGAAAAATGCTCGAGGTCTTGGCTTAAAGAGCAACAACAACAGCAATGTGTTGCCTTAATTAGTTTAGTCAAAGTTAAGTACAAAATGTATGCAAATTTTCTTTCAATTTTTTCCAAGGCAAGAAATCAAACGGAAAAACTTGAACTTCCTCTGGGGCGAGTGCTCACACCTCCCCTCTGCCATTTCCTGGCATTAAACAATAAAGCTCACAAAATAGCAAATATCGTATATACGAGTATATATATATATATATATATGTATATAGCAGTAAACGGAAGCAACAAAATCTGTCCAGAGGATTGGCCAAGAAATGAAGTTCTGCGGGGGAGGCGATGGCGGCAGACGTGCCTTGACTAGAAGAAGGAAATGCCCGGGCTGATTCGAGAGTTCCGCCACAAATTCGTTGGCTATTCCTTGGGAGTCCTGGCGCCTCCCTCGCTGGCACAAATCAAGTTGAAATGAATTTGTGTGTGGTTCTTCCGGGGCTGGGCAGGGGTGGTTGCGGATTGGGGATTTTGTGTGGTTTGTAAGGATTTCAGGACCAACATTGAGCTGGGTCAAACGAGAAAGAAGGGCAAGATTAGCAGGCAAAGCCTTACGTACCCTGGAAAATAATATTCAGCCAAGAAGCATATAAGAGCTGGATGTCCTAAGCAAATGGTGAACTAAACCACAAACGGAGTTAGGGTCTGTAACAAGAAAAGGACAGTTAACCTCATCATCCTTCTTTCAGATTACTAGCAGTGTCTCCCTGGCCATTTGATTTTACAAGAGTATTTTAACAGTTTTTAATACATTACTATTTAAAGAAGAAACCAAGGAAATCCTGAAACAAAAGTATCTTTGAAATAGCAGAGGTAGTAATAGTGTTATGACCTCTAGAGGGGAAGTTTGGCTCATCTTTACGCCAGTCTTCGGGGCCTTTGGGAGAGCCAACAGAGAATCAGCATTATAATGAAAACTTCTTAAGGTCTGATCAACTTACAAGGAACTACAGAGCAGTTTTGGGTCACTTCATACTCTTGCCAAACTTCTTGCCATTCCATACCACCCTCTTAGCCACTTTTCCAGAGTACCAGGCAAGAGAAGCTCTTGTTGTCCGTTGGCCTAATAGAAATCTATTACTTCCGAGCCCTAAAAAGCGTGCCGAGACTAACAAAGATTTTTTTTTGTTTGCCTTACAGCTACTGCAGCCACGCCCACTACCACAACGGCCGCCTCATCGGCGTTTGAGCGTTTCAAGGCGCTGCGTAGAAGTCGCCAGCGGACGGGGCACAAGATCCACAAAAAGCGTTACAAGGACTATCTGAAGAGGCAGCATCCGAAGATGGAAGTGACAGCGCCCCCGGAAATGGCTCCAGCAGCCACCATGTCAACGAGACACCTACAAAAGTTGCAGAAGGAGCGAGAGCGATCCACGCACTCGGCACCGATCTTCGCCTTGGGAGTGCGACCCCAAAGGCCAATGGTGGTCACTGGGAAGCCCTTCTACGAGGGACAGGTCAACTACTACGACAACCAGCAGCAGCTGGACGTGGATCTCAAGCATCATACGGAAATGGAACGTTTGATTGCCCACGACAATGGCAATTGGTATCGCCGCATCAGTCCGGTTTTGAGGAATGGCGTCAAGAGTGATCCGCCAGTGAAGGACCACCACCACCACCATCACCACCACAGTGGACATCTGGGCAACCACCACCACCACCATCATCATAGTCACAATCACAACGGGGCACACACTCACCATCATCACAGCCACCAGAAGTCGACGCATCTGAGGCCACGACCTAGTAATCCCTATCAGAGGAAAGCTCCATCAGGAATAGGTGCCCCCAGTCCACCACCGCCACCCACTCCGCCTCTTCCACCGCCGAAGCCCCAACTGGGCCATCAAATAACCGAGCTGGAACATCTCGAAAGGTACTACGCCAAGTGGCCGCATCTAGCCCGGGTGCAGTTCCAGGTCTACGATGAGCACTATCGCGAATCGCATCCCGAACTCTATACCGACTACGAGGATGACTACGAGAGTGCCGCTGAGCTGGAGGAGGCCCAGCAAGAGCGCGGTGAAGAGGCCAATCTTCCGCCCTACATCAAGAAGTACAACAGACGGAACAAGCAGTTACTCAATCTCCTGGAGGGCACACTACCCACACCCACCATGAATCCCGGCAACTCCTTGGGCAGCACCGAAACCGTGCGACTGGATGATGAGTATCTGAAGGAGAAGAGGCGACGTTACCACCAGCACCAGCGTTTTGAGGATTTGTTTGCCCAGCAAAAGAATCGCTATAGTACCACTCAAGCCACGCCCAAAGAAGAGGTCACCATGGCCAAGGTGGAGGACTCTAGGGATGTGGGATTCAAAGAGAGTCCAGTGACATCCACAACGACACCCAGCAATCAGCTGCCCGAAGAAGATGCACCCGCAGATTCTGGGGAAGAAACAGATCCTGCACCCGAAGCCCTGGACTTTTGGCAGCGGGAAATGGCCAGCAAGGCCAGTAAGACGGCAGGAAACCAACCGGCAAGTCCACAATCTACCACCACGCCCAAGCCAGCGCTCTTCAAGCTCCCTTCATATCCTGCCATCGCTGGCAGCTTCTTGGGCACACCGCGCAGTCGCAGCCGGAGTGCCCAGTTCGTGGCCAATGTGGCTGGACGGGGTCAAAGTAGTTGGCCTCGTTTGGAGACGGGCAATTCCACGGAAAAGCCAGCTTCTGCCGGAGGAGGATCCCCGGTAGCCGGAGGAGCTGGAGGTGGACGGGGAGATCCCTCGCCACTAAACTCCTTCGTTTACCATCGTGTGGTCGATGGCATTGGCTTGGCGGGTGGAAGTGGATCCGCCATCTCCGGCTTCGTCGGCAGCAGTAGAGGCAAACAGTCGCGACTGCCATTCGTGGCCATCACGGATCGTCGGCTGGAGAAGACGCTGGCGGAGCGACACAAAGACTTTGAGCAGAATCACTTTCCGATGCCTTAAGCCGCGTATTTGTGCAGCAATGGAAAAGCTAGAAAAGCTGGAAAAGCTGGAAAAGCTGAAGAGGGAGAGGAATGGTAAAGGAAAAATTAACGATGAGTTGGTAGCTGAGGGTGGAAAGGGGAACTTTCGGGGAACTATTTTGAAAAGGAAACCAGGAAAGGAATAAAGCCATATCTTAAAAAAACAAAAAGAATTTAAAATTGTGAATTTTTTAATTATTTTATTGGTTTTTTATACCCTCCAAAGCTTAAAAATCTAATCAAAGTGTCCTGTTAATCTTATTTTTTTAGCTTTTTAATATTTAAAGTGAAAAAAAAGTTTGGGAAAAGCGTAAAGCGTTTTGTTTAAATTTTTTATAATTTTTCATAATGAAATGTTAATTTTAAATAGATTTATGTTTAACTTAAATAAAAATAAAGTCAATTCCCATTTGAAGCCATTTTCGAGCCACAATAAACTGATGCCAGCCAGCTGTTAAATGCCATCGAAGAGTCAGTTCCCATTCCCCTTTCCACACCTGATATACCAACTCAAAATCTAAACATAATTCTAGAACTATATTATAGTCGCCGCTTTCGGAGGTATTATTTTTGGTGTTTTATGTTTTACAAGGAGCGAAAGAAGCGAATCAAAAAGGATATAGAGATAATGGTCGAAAACGAGTTTTTTGTGTGGTGAATAAATGAAGAAAATTAAACGATAAACGTTAGAAAAGGTAAACGATAAAATAAAGAAACAACAACAAAAAAATGAAATGTAAAACTAAAGTTAAGCGAAAAACAATTTTTTTTTTTTTGTGTATAAATAGTGAAAAAACACCTGTAGACGAACACAAACACAAACATATATACGAAAGAGACACACACACACACACACGGACACTCAAAGAGCTGTTAGAAATCAAAAAGTGATAACCGAAGAAATAATAATCATTTTCGCCTTAGTTTCGATTGGATTTTATTTAGTTTTAGAAGCCTTGCTTTTGGGTGTAAAGTAGCTGAAACTTAGAACAAATTGTTAAAAAAAGAGCCTCTCCAACAGTGCTGTCAGATGAGAAAACCAAAAAAAAAAATAAGAAAAATTTAACGTTTATCGGTAAATCAACAGTTAAAAGCTTTTAATTGATAATTTTTGCTTGAATTTTTGGCCACAATTCTTGGTTTTAACTTTTTAACTTCAGAATTTACCAATTTCCAAAGAGCAGTTTTTCATGTAGGAAACAGTCAGTTCTTACTGACCAAAACCTATCTATAAAAGGGATGAAAAGACAGCACTGTTCTCCCCAAGCACCAACACACACAGACACAGACACTGACTGCTTTACTGTTGCCCTGGCACGCAAAATCCATCGAAATAGGTTTCAAAATTAAAGGAAAAACAATGAAAACACAGAAGAGGGAAAACGAAATTTGGCAGAAGACAATGTTGCACAAAACTTGAAAAGTATTCAATTAGCCAGAAGAAAACAAACAATAAGTTTTAGTGGTTAGCAGAAGGGCAAGCGAAGAGAAAACATAAAGTGTAAAACAACATATCAAGGCGGAGACAAGACAATGTTCAGCAAGGATTGGAAAATTGAGAAAATCGTACAAATTGGGAACTTCAAATATAAGTTTATCATCTTCTATCGTTTATTTATGTTAATTGTTTTCTTAACTTAAAAAATATTTCAGCATTAGTACTAGTTTTAAATGGCATCTAAAAGTATGCAATGATTTTTTATACAACAAAACTAAGGACTTTCTGTTTATATTTTGTGTTCTTTTTTCGTAACTATTAACATTTTAGTTATTCTAAAACAAAAATGCATTAGTTACTTTGGAAAATGTAATCTGTTAAAAGTCTTAAAGTTTTCCCAGCTTGTAAGGATTTTCCTTTTGGGCAGTATATGACACGCACACACACAAAAATGGAAAAATAAAAGTGCAAAAAAGGGAGACGATGAAAACTGTGGAAATTCCCCCGAAAATAAGTCGAAAACTTAAGAAATGAAAAATACTTTGTGTAGAAAAATAAAACAGAAAACAGCAAAAAAAAAACCAACGCATTTCCACAGCTTTAGCCGAATTACGAGTTTTTATACACACGCACACTGACACAAAGTATGTGAGCGGAAATAAGAATTTCATAAGCAAGGCGAGAGGACAAAGGAGAGGGCCAGAAGGCGGGGCGAGAATGCAATGCGGTGTAATTAACATATCAAAAGCGAAACGCGAAGAGCAAAAAGAAAAGGCAAAAGCGCCAAGCAATTAAAACTAAGCGCGGTGGCAAATATTTCTCAAACTGGATTCATAAAAGTAATTTTGTTTGATAAAAAGCTCAGCTCAGCTCCGGAGTGGCGGAGTAGCGGAGTGGCTCAACTTTAATCTTGAAATACTTTAAGTTGAAGGGGGGGAAAAAAAAAGGAAAACCGATTTCGATTTTCCGGATTCGCGGAAATGTTCGCTGTTTGTTTGTTGTACAATTTAATTGGAATTTGAGTTGAAATGAAAACAGGAGAAGAGCATAATGGAAAAACCTTCAAAGGTATCAGCGTATCAAACAAACGAACAGAAAAAAAAAAAAAAAAAAAAGAAAGAAAGAAAGACACAACACAGACAACACTGCAACATATACATGTATACACATCTCATTATGTGGTAACATTTTAATGGAATGAAATTCAATAAAGCAACAATTTATTATTTACGCATAATCATGGTCTGCCTTCTTGTTCTTGGCATGGGAACTCCGCCCGGCCGCCACCGGCAGTCATTTAATTCAAATAAAATATTCAGCAATTAACGCGCTTTTCCCGGGAATGGGGTCATGTGTGTGGGTGTGAGTGTGGAAAACCTTCTTAGCCCCACTTCGTTTTGAACTTGGTAATGTTTCTAGAACAATTATGGATCGTAGGGGTTAGGTCGCTTTGAGAACTGCCAAGTGCTGGCAAGGCACTGGTAAATATATCATTAAAGTTAACTGCTATCGAAAGTGTAGATATATCATGTGGTATATATAGATAGATAAGTAGATAAATAGGTAAGGATTTTAGACACCTTTGATATAATTTTTAAAAGCATAATGAAGTCTAATTAGGACAAAGATAACCTCTGTTGCAGTTTCTCTAACAAACCATTAAACGTGCAAGAAGCAGCAATTTTCAAGTTTTAAAGTAAAAGATGATCTCATAAATTATACATATTCTAGATCAGCATCAAGTCGAGTTGTTCTGGTGATGTTCGTTTGTCCGAGTCTAGAAGTGTTGAAGAATAGCCATGACTTTATAACGGAGCCATCGTAGGACTGATAGGGATATGATTAAAAAGAAATTAGTTCGTTATAGAAAAGATCCGTGAACCCTGTTTAGCGTTAGCGATTCACTTGATTAGCACAACCTAAAAAGATTTTCTTAGTAGTTCAACCTACATTGCTTAGATTGTTATTGTTATTGTATTAAGTTATGATGAGTATTTTGGTTTGATCGATTAAGCCGTATTTTTAGGAATGTCGTCCCTTAGAAGGTTTATTTATTTAAGGCTAACCATTAGTTAAAACTAAGAGCTAACAAGTGGCTAGGAGCAATAGCAGCTAGGGCCTTCAGCTCAGCTTAAGTTAGAATATGGCTTGTGAAAGTTTGGCTTATGAGTATATACAAGATATTACTAGGGATTACTATTTACATTTTATTTAGAAAAAATTTGATTTAGTTAGATTTGGGCAGTTGTTTAGGAATTTAAGGATGTTTAGGGAGTTCGTATCTGTGGGGCTAGCTATGGTGGTGATTGGATCAGGAAGAAGACATCTATGGGAAAGCTGGAACATAGGAGTTTATTTTCAAAATAGAAAAATTTAAAATAACTTTTAAATTTAACAAAGTGTTAAAGCCATAGAAAGCTTTATTAGATATTAAAAACATTTTTAGAACTAAAAACAAAACTCTTTCAATAAAAATTAAAGATTGGACTTGAAGAAAGTATCACCTGGACGGTTTCCGGCTCGATAACAACACTAAAATATTTTCCCGCCGAAATGATATATCATATATATCCCATTAAATTCCCCATGCCGACGATCAGACCGAAAGGGTTAAGGGGAACGAAAAGCCAGGGAGACGGCGGCAGCTCGTTTATCAATCGCAACGGGCGTGCATTTAATTACTTAAACGCTTATCGAATAACGGCCACGCACAAATCACCGGCAAACTGAAGCATAAAGCCCCCGACGCAAAAGAGATAGCTATACCCAGTAAGAGAGAGAAAGACAGAGAGAGAGAGAGACTGCAGCAATGCATTTGTCGCTGCAGTTTTTCAATTACGCCGTTTTATTTCACCTTTTCCTCGCTCACGTGTCAGGGGTGAAAATCTGTCAGTTGATTTGCATAAAATGTTGCCGCACTCCATTGCGCTTTCTATATATGTTTTCCCGTTTTTTTTTCCTCTCTCTTTGATTTTATTTTATTTCCCCGTACGTCGTTGCACATTTGCCAAATAATTCCAATTCAATTTGCGAATCTCTCGTTCAAGTTTCGAGGCAGTTTCAGTTGCCACAACTTTCCGCCCGGAATGAAGTTAAATCAAATGTTTTATACGGCAGCGATCGCGGAGAGTAGCAGCCAGGCGGGCACTTGCACTTCCCTGATGCTTACAGGGTATCTTGGCGGGAATTTGAATAGACACGTAGCCGGAGACCAGACAGCCAAATGGAGACATTGCTGCAGAGGCGGTGGAGCTACCAAAACCGCCGCCTCAAGGCAAAGTCGCGCAGCAACAACATCGCACTGGGAAAAGAAGAGTAGAATTTTATTTTATTATAGTTCTTTAAATGAAGAAATTCGAATTATAAAACTTTCCTAAACAGATTTAGCCACTACTTTTAACTACTACTTTTACAGCATACTTTTGAGCGCACTTAAAATTGGCTCTAAAGGCAATTAAATTAGTTTTTAAATGCCTTTTAAGGATACAGAACAGAGGTGCAGAGTTAGATTTAACCATCTTCTTCTATTATATTATTTTTCGCAGTGCATCAATGTCGTAAAGGTGGTGGCTCAAGTTGAAGGCAAACTGCTTGCGGCGCTCTTTCAAAGCGTTTCAGAAGAGACAAGGAACTGGATGAGGGGGGAGTGGAGAGGTGGGAGCATTTTCCTAGTCGTGCCAAGTGCAGCAGGATTTCATGTACCTACGTGTGTGGCCCCGTCTGTCCGCCGGTCTGGCTGTCGGTTTGTCTTTGTCGCTGGTTTAGTTTAACTCCGTGTCTGTCTGCGTATGTTTGTAGATCACTGAAAGGAAATGTTGGTGTTAAGCTTGGGAAAATGAATTATCCACCTAAAATAAACTAAAGTCCTTTTAAGATCTTAAGAATGGTCATTACTTTGGTTAGATGGCACTATGATCTTCCCGTCAGCGCATTTTTTACCCCAATTGAGTTTTATTTGTAGAACTCGTCTAGTTTTTCATGGGAACAATCAAGGAAATCTCTTCAAAGGTTAAACAGAAAGGTGTTAGAAATAGAACCTTCGGACATCAATAATAAATGCATTTTTGTTCACATCTTTTAGTTATAAACTTTTTATTAAAAATTGATTAAGTGTAATTTGTTCTCCATATACTTTTGTAGTTACGTCTGAGTTACCCACAGTTTTCCTTAACCTTTTTTCTTTTACTTGCATTTTCCATGTGCGACAATGTAACACAAACTCACTCACACACACACAGAGAGAGAGACAAACGAAGCTGGAGAAAATCACGTAAACAGATTTTTGTTGTCTCAGCAACCGTTTGGCATTCCTCGGCTTTGCCGCACGTTTCCCCATTTTGTTTTCCTCAGCCAGGCATTTTCAATAATTAAACATTTGCGTGCGAAATGGCCGCGTAAAGTTCCTTCCGCTGTGAAATCCAGCACCGCACTTTTGCCCAGTTTCCTCTGAAAGTTTTCCAACGCTTCTGTTGTTGTCGCTAAGCCCCCGGAGGTCCGCCGCTGTCTCGCAATCATAATTATAATAATTATAAAAACAATAATTAAAGCACATAAGCACTGGGATGTCGGTATTTTGGGTGTCGGCCGAGAGGAAAAGGGAAATATTTAATTGAAATTTTAATAGAACCTTAAGCAGGGCACGTAGGCGAAAACTGGGATAACTGCCATTGCCTTTGTTTGTTTTTCTTTTGTTTTTTTTTCTTTCTTCTTCTTTATATTTTATTTTCCTGGTCCTGTTCCTTTTCCTTCTCTTTTGGGCCGGTGAGCAGAGTCTGAATTTTTGACAAGTTAATTAGGTTGTTTGTTGGTCCGTCCCTTTGCCACACCGCTTTTCGCCGTTTTCCCCCCGCTTTTCCTCGGGATTTCTCTATTTTCGAGGTATATTTTAATGTACTTGTGATAAAGTCCTTTTAATTGCCGCCAGACAACACCTTACTTCAGCTCAGCCCGGCTTACCTCAACTCATCTCTTGCAGGGCTCTTTCTCTTCTCGGTCCTTTGGTCAGTACACACACACACTTTTATACACACCCCCCCACTTCACAGCCACCACACCCATCCACATACACAAAGACAAAGCCTGGCGGCAGGCAGTCAAGTTGTCAAAGTGGCAACAAAATTAAGCATACGCCATGTGGCCCAGCCCCAAGCCTCTGAAGAGAAATAGTGAGGAAAAAGGAATATGAGCAGTCCGGCTGTGTGGTAAATATGCAAACATAACTAGAAGTAGGAATTTAACCAAAGAAAAGTTGCCAAAAGACCTAACTTCCTGCTGGAAAGCATTCATTTTCGCAAGGAGCTGGTAATAAATGAAGTAACTAAAAATAGGTCAACATTTTAAGGTAATAAATTGTATACTCCAAACTATATTACATTCATTTTGATATTAATAATTAAGAAAGGCGTTCATTTATACCGTTTACCAGCAAATTTTATAAATATTTCAACTTCATAAAGGTCTTTGGGGTGCTAAATTATGATTGCCTTCCAACAAATTCCACTTCAATCTACCGAAAGTTGTCATTCATAGTCAAAACGAATTCCAAAGCATTAAATATTTGATATTAATATTAATATTCTATAACCTTAAATTCATTGTCCAAACAGTCAGAAAATAATTCTAAATAAATTGAAATGTGTTAGGGAATTTATGGCATTAAAGTGGCCATAGTTAATGAACCGCAGCACTTCCGATTTGATATTCAAAATTAAATTCCCTTCATTGTCAGACAGTGTTCGTTTGAGGGCGCTCTGGCAGGATATGCATCCATCTGTTACCGCACTCCTTGCTGCCCTTTTCGCCCTGCTGCGGCTTTCATTCTCCACCAGTGACGTCCATGTGGTCCTCTCGCCAGAGTCGCCCCAAAGAAACGAAAACGAAAAACGAGAAACGGCAACAGACTGTCACGCTGTATGAACGACCTCAAACAAGACTTTTGCGGCGTTTTTTGAGGCGGTTTAGAGGGGAGGCAAATGGAAAACCAGACAGGAACGACTGGCTCCACACCGCATTTGATTTCTTTTTAATTTTCGGGCGTCTTTTCGGTGATAGCCTCTCCTCCCCTTGGGCTTTAGATTTTTGTTATTTAAGAGCCAGAAAACATTTGCATAACGCTTTGATAATTAAATGTAATTGCTTCCCAGCCGGCAGGCTGAGATCCAAGTATCTGATTCACTTTGGGCTTATATGCTGGGGGGAATTACGGTCGGTTACTTTCCCAGCTGCCATGTTGATTTG